CAGGCACTGGGATCCACAAGGAATTTTTTTTTTTAAAGATTCCAACCTCTCCCACCTCCCCCCCTACCCCCTGATTAAAAAAAACACACACACACAAAAACCGGCATCCACACTACTCCCCTCCTCCCTCCGTTTGCCCCCTCCCCCCAGCAACCCGGAGTGAGGAGGGGGAGGGGGAAGGAAAAGGGGAAAAAGCTCGATCTCAAGGAAAAAAAGAGGGGGGCTGAGAGAAAGAAAGAAAAAGAGAGAGAGAGAGAATAGAAAGGGCACGGGGCTGATCATCACCAACATGGCTGCCTCAGCATAGACCTAAACGAGGAGTAACCCGGGCTGTGTCTTTGTCAGTTTCACCTCTGTAACCCTAAACTAATGCAGAAAACAACGGAGGAGGCTGCGGAGGGGAAAGAGGAGAGGGAGGGCGAGAAAATGGCACGAGAGGAGGTGGAGAAGGGATGACTTACGTGAGGGAAGGCGCTTGGGCTGCTCCTGCTTCCTCCTGGGCATTTTCCCCCTTTTCTCACATTCTCCTCCTTGGTTAATGTGAGATCAAATAAANTTTTTTAATTTTTTGGTCGTGCACCTGGCTTGTCCCCCGAGCGTAATATTCTTCAATGGAAACGGATCTAAGAGGTGTGAGTGTGTGTGTGTCCGGTGCTCGCGCGTGTGATGGGAGGTATAAATAAACGAGCGCCGGTGCGGCGGTGTCTATGGCCGCGCGCTGTGTCTCCGAGCCCCTAACACTAATGTCGGGATCAAAGGGCAGCGGCGGCGGCAGCGCGGCTCACAGCTCGCTCGCTCTCTCTCCCCGCTCGCCCGCGCGCGCTCTCTCTCGCTCGCTCTCTCCTCTCGCGCTCTCTCTCTCACTGTCACACACACACTCACACACACACACGGAGGCACAGACTGAGGGAAAGAGCGAGAGCCAGACCTAGACACACACACACACACACACGCGCGCGCGCGCGCTCGCACACCAAAGAGGAAGGTGCCCTAAGGCTCCCAGGGCGGACTCAGCCGGGGATTCGCAGCAGCTCCCCGGGGAAGGAAAGGGGCGCGCTCGCGCGGGGGGGCGATGGACTTCTGAGCCTTTATCCCGCTATCCGCCACACCGAGGGGGGGGAAAAGTTTTTCCCACTCTTGAAACAACGATTACTTCACGATTCTTCGTGATTTTTTAAAAAGGACATAGATCTGCCTCTTAACTTTCTTTTGTTTATTAAACGACGTTTTCTCCTGCAGAGCATTCTTCAGGGTGTTGTCCCTAAAAGAATGACTTTTACCCCCCATCGCTGTAAGCGTGCGGAGGTGACAGCCTCCCACAGACCCTTTCAAAAACATTTTAATACAAATAATTATTTTTTAAAAAATAAAATTTAAAAAGATAACATAGGGTGAAATCAATAAGTAGGTTGATGGAATAAGTGCCCAGTTTTGGGAGTGTCCAGTGGAGTTTAAACTGAAAAATGCTACCTAAATGAAAATTATAGCTTCTTGACAGAGGGGGGAAAATAAGATTAGGTCACCCCCGATGGTTGATTTAAACTGCTACATGATACTCCTACAGTGCACACAGCAATCTTGACTTCTGAAATTTACTTTTTTCCCCCCAGTTATAATTCAGGTATACGAAGCTTACACTGAAGAAATTCCAGTTTGCATTATGAGCCCAATATAGCAGTTTTCATTAACTGATACATATTTTCATAACTTTACAAATCACACATCTTTCTTCAAAGAGAGGCATGAAGGGGAAAAATAGAATAGGATGGGTCTCACTCTAGCACAAAAGCTACTTGGTGAAAGAGGACTGTTCTCTTTGTGAGTTGGAGCCATTTGGATAAAAGTTCACTCAGAGGTTGTTAATTATTTAAACTCCAAAACCTGCTACTATAATTGAAGTAAAAATGGTCTGAAGAAGAGTTGTTTCATAAAACTCTCTTTGTAAGAGGAAACTTTGAACTTAAGCAGAATACATTTTATGTCATGAGTCAGATGTAGCTGAAAAATAAAAAGGTGCGTTATTTAAGTACATCTTCCCTTTTTAGCTTTTAAAAAACTCTGACTCATCATCTTATTATGTTAAATATTTTCCTACCAATTTTAAAATGGACTTTTTCATCAAAGAAGGTGGAGGCACGGCAAACATACAAAAACATTAAGATGACACTTAAAAAGCTTACATGGATAGCTAATTCTCACAACTCAAGCGGTGTTAAAGACAGCCATGGGGGCTAAAGCCCTACGTACCCCTTCAAAAATAGCAACAAGGCTTTATTTTGCACACTTTTATTAGAGAAGCTTAAAAAGTGGTGTATCTCCCAAAATATGTTTTTCATTGATAAAACCTCAGGACGACACCCTCTCTGACAATTCCCTTGAAAGATCTAGCTTTCCAATGACAGACAGGTAATGCCATCTGAAGCAGGTCTTGAAACACCTGCTTGAATTCAATCTAAAACCAAAGCATAGAGCAGTCAAGTTTAAAATGGAGCATCATCCTTAAACCAATCCTTCCTTGAATGTTGGCTTAAGCAAACCAGCAGTTAAGTTTCCCTGTGTTTCAACTTGAAAATTGCAACTATGTTTCAACTCAGATCAAACTCAACTTGCCATGACTTTGACTATGGTCAGTAGTGTTGGACTTGAAATTAATATGTGAATGATAAATCTGAGCCCATCCATTCCAAGTAGACTCATTGCCCTGAATGTGTAGAATCTTTAAACTTGACACAGAGTAAACAGAATGGTCACAACACTTCACCATTCTCCCTCAGAACCTTTGGCTAGGACATGGAGGCCTATTACTCTTCATAGACACACCGCCACCTTTCCTGAATTGCTATGACTCTTTACAATGCTTAGTAACTATAATTGAGAATACACTTTAGGCCTTTCCTCAAGGTAGAGTACATTTCCTGCGAACTTTTAAAGGCATGCAGGCAAACGCTGTCAACTGTTAATTATATAGGTGTTCTATCAACAGCCAAAAGCATTATTAAATTGAACTTGTTCATACCTCTACCTCTTTCCAAAAATCATTTGAAATAGTATGCAACAATAGAAAATGGAAATTAGGACAGAACAATTCCTGTTTAAATCTCAGCTTGATATCTCTCTGCTGCAAAGCACACTTCAAGGGCACTGGCGCCTCACCCTCAATTGCTATATGTTCAGAGAATACAAACTGATTTTAATGTTCAACTAACCTAAAATATTAGGAAGATAAATAGCTGGCAGTTTCTATGATAGATTTCAAAATTGAGTGAATAAATAATTTTGGAAACGTGTGCCTTTTGAATGCACATACCCATGAACCATTAATTTAGATTATTGTTGACTGTAGTCATCACATTGGAATATTCTATTTGGTTCACCCCCCACTGCCCAAGTTTTTAAAAGCAAATTTTATCTTAATAATTATAGTACTCTTCACCCCATCTTCATCACCTCTCAAAGGTGAGATTAAAATATTTTCTCTCAAAATTATGCATTCTAAGATGTTTCATAAATGCTCACTCTCAGAGGAGTAAACTCCATCCTACCCAAGTATTGCTAGAGGGAGGTAGACAGTGGGAGCACTTCTAGAACAGCACGTGGTCTGCAGAGGGTCCTTAAGGTCAAAACTCTTTTCATAATAGCATTAAGGTGTTATTCGCCCTTTTATCTGTCAACATTTACACTGATGATGCAAAAGCAATGGGAATAAAATACTGCACCTTAGCTCTGATCCATGCAGTGGCACAAAAATATATTAACAATCATTTTCTTCTTCACCACCATGCACGGGGGTTGGGGGAGGAAGAGGGAGGAAGAGAGAGAGGGAGGGAGAGAAGGAAGGTTTATTTAAGAATGTCCTTGCCCTGGTTGGGTGGCTCAGTAGGTTGGAGCATTGTGCCATACACCAAAGGGTGGTGGGTTCGATTCTCTGTCAGGGGACATAGCAAGGTTGCCGGTTTGATCCTGGGGGAGGGGTGGGGCAAACAGGGGGGCAACCAATCGATGTTTCTCTTTCACATCAATGTTTCTCCCTTCCTCTCTCTCTACAAAAACACAAAAAAACACAAATCAGTAAAAACATGTCCCTATGTGAGGATTGTAAATAAAGAAAAAGAAAAAGAATGTCCTTAATGGAGCAGTAAAAATTATTAATTTTATTAAATCTTGACCCTTGAGTACAAGACTTTGAAAAATTCTTTGTAACAAAATGGTAGGAACATATAAAGTATTCCTGCTTCATACTAAAGTCCCTCAGCTGTCTCAAGGAAAATCTTTTCTGAGATGGTGTCCTATAGCTGCTTTTTTCAAATATTATTTTTACTTGCACGATTGACTGACAAACTGTGGTTGCTCAGACTTGAGTGTTTCTCAAAAAATGAATGAAGTGAGCCTGTAACTTCAAGAAAAACAATTCATGGTATTTTTTGGCAATGATAATATCTGCAGTTACAAATGAAAACTAGAATTTTAGATAACTGCTATCTATCCCTATGAGCTTAACCACTTCCTAAGACTGAAAGACTTTTGTGATGAGATGATGGTGATGTTAATGAATGTGATTTTCTGATCCCGCATCAACATTTTGGAAGAGCTGCATAACTCAGGGAACCAATCCACTCAAAGTACAAGGCCAACTAATGGATTTTAATGTAAGAATATTAAAAGTTATAGATATGGTTTCTGATTCCTCTTGTCAGTAACTTTTAAGAAACTCTCACTCATCAGGTTTTGGTGTAGTGTCAAAAAAAAGTATCCACAATTATTTGAAGAGGTTTTAAAATGCTCTTCCCTTCTTCCAACTACATATCTATAAGTGGCTTGATTTTTTTCATGTAAATCTTTAACCAAAGCAACGTATCACAACAGATTGAATGCAGAAGCATATATGAGAATATCTGTCTCCTAGTAACCCAAACATTATAGAGATTTGCAGAAATGTAAAACAAGGCTACTCTTCTCACTAAATTTTTTTGTTTCGAAAAATATAGTTATTTTCATAAGAATGGATTAATTTGTATTGTGTTTATTTTTATTTATATATAAATTTAAAAATAAATATTTTTTAAATTCCACAGTTTTAATATGGAATATAGGACATATCAAGGCATAATCCACATAAACGAAAGTTCTTTGGGGCCCTCAGTAACTTTTAAGAGTATAAAGACGTCCCGATTCAAAAAGTTTGAGAACCACACTGCCCTAGAAATTAACTGAGATGCAGTTAGAAAGAAAGATGAACATCTATGGGGGTTTTCTCAAAAGTCTTGAAATCCAATTGTAAATATGATTACACTTATGAAATAAAGCCCCCTCAGCTCCAGCAACTGAGAGCTGGTATCATATGCTCAAGTTTGGCTTCTCTGATGAGATCCCTTATGAGACACAGAGAGGATATATTAGTCAGGATTCTCCAGAGGGAATATATTCTCCAGAACCAATATATATTTTATTAATTAATTATAGGGATTTGTTCATGAGGTTATGGAGGCCACAAATTCTCAAGATCTGCCATCTACAAGATAACCAGGAAAGCAGTGGTGTAATTCAGTCCAAGTCAG